GTGCTAATGATCCATTGTTAGGCTGATGGTCCTTCTTGAGCATGTGATCAGCTGGTTTTGGTTGTCAGCAGCAAAACTGGTTGATCCACTCTGAGACGGTGCTATTTAAGAGACTGAGCTGAATACAGCTCCTCAGACTGAGGAAGTCTCTCGGATGAGAGACGAAACGTTTCTACATTTTTTGTTGATTTGCTTTGTTTTGTTTTTTTGAATGTCCAGAGGACCAGATTTAACTTTTTTAGATATCTTGATTAGTATCTTGCAGGTGGCGGCTGATGGAAGAGTGTCCGGCTGGGAGATAGAGTTCCACAGGGAATGAGTCCAGTTTGGAGACGATTCGTCAAGTCTTGGTTCTTGGAGGTGAGTCCTGGTTTTGCCCAAGGTGACTGAATGATTCAGCGAAGACTGGAACCTCCTCCAAGGCTTAAGTAGCAGCTCCATAGTTGATGACTCTTCAGACAGAGGAAGCCTCGCAGAACCAGAGATGACATCATGTCAGTAACTACCTGACGTTCACTCACCTCACACATACACACAATATAAATACACATCAGCTACGTAACCATACACTGTGTACTTATACACACCTATGTAAGTACATCTTCTTCTTTCGGCTTTTCCCTCTTCAGGGGTGTCCACAGTGAGTCATTCTCCTCCACCTCACTCTGTCCTTTGAATCCTCTGTCCTCACTCCAACTACCTCCATGTCCCTCTAACTGCATCCATATATGTCCTCTTTGTCTTTTTCTGCAGCTGCATTTCTAACATCCTTCTACCAATATACACACTGTCCCTCCTCTGGACATGTCAAAACCACTGTCCTTCCTCTGGACATGTCCAAACCATCTCAGTGTGTCCTCTCTAACTTTATCTCCCAGTTGTTCAACCTGTGCTGTACCTCTGATGATCTCATTCCTGATCTTCTCCATCCTTGTCTCTCCTAAGGAGAACCTCAACATCTTCATTTCTGCTACTTCCAGTTCTGTCTCCTGTCTTTTTGTCAATACCACTGTCTCCAGACCATACAATATAGCTGGTCTTACCACTGTCTTGTAAACTTTTTCTTTTGACCTTTGCTGACACCCTTTTGTCACAAATCACTCCTGGAACTTTTCTCCATCCACTCCATCCTGCCTGGACTCTCTTTTTCACTTCTTTACCACATTCCCCATGTTCCTGGACAGTGGACCTTAAATACTTGAAGTCCTGCACCTTTGTGACCTCTGCTCCTTTTAGCCTCACTGTTCCACCTCCTCCCTCTCATTCACACACATGGACTCTGTCTTACTACAGCTGACTTTCATTCCTCTTTTTTCAAGTGCATACCTCCACCTCTCCAAGTTCTCTTCCACCTGTTCCCTGTTCTCACCACAGATCACAATGTCATCTGCAAACATCATCGTCCATGGGGATTCTTGTCTGACATCATCTGTTAGTCGGTCCATCACCAGAGCAAACAAGAAGGGGCTCAGAGCCGATCCTTGATGCACTCCCACCTCCACCTTGAAGCTATTTGTCACTCCTACAGCACATCTCACCACTGTCCTGCTGTCCTCATACATGTCCTGCTGTCCTCATACATGCCCTA